TGAGCACCACAACCCTAGAGTCGCTCGACTGGCTTTCGAGCAAGGGAACCTTTACCTTTTTTAATCAGCACATACCCCAGGCTAGTCTGATCTCGTCAGATCTCAGAAGCTAAGCAGGGTTAGCCCTGGTTAGTATTTGGACGGGAGACCTCCAAGGAAGTCCAGGGTTGCTATGCAGAGGCAGGCAAAGGCAAGCCACCTCTGAACGTCTTGCAACTGGATGGCATTTTCCCACCACCAATGAGCACAAGCCCTGACCTGGATGGCCCGGGCTAGCCTGACCTCATCAGATCTCAGAGGCAGGATTGGCCCCGGTTAGTACTCGGATGGGAGACCACCGAGGAAATCGCGGGTTACTCCGTAGAGACAGGCGATGACAAGCCACCTCTATTCCTCTCTTGCTTTGAAAACCCTACTGGGTTGCCATAAATCAGCTGTGACTTGAGGGCACTTTCTGTCACACCCCAAACTGAAAGGAATCCTGAGATAGCACCCAGCGCATCACACCTTCACTGCAGACCAATATGGGGGCAGACTGAAGGAGAATCACAAATCTGGCTGAACACACATCTGTTCTATATACAATTTACTGTACAAGTTACCAGGTCAAACGTGGGGACCGGGGAACCACAGGGAAAATATTACCTTTGATGAGGCCCTCGGTAATCAACTTCTGTTCTAAAAATATCACTGGGACTTACTTGCAACTGAACAATAGACTCTTGGATCCTTACTTTATAATACACATAAGTGTTTCAAATAACTAATTTTTAGTTAACTGTGGGAGGAAAGTAGGAGGGCATTGTGAAGCTGTCTACACAGGAATCCGACTTGAGTGACAGGATTTCCTTTGCCATTTCCACAGGCTCTCTTCCCTCTCCTGTAGGTTCTCTAGTATAATTCAGTACATAAACTGAATAAAAATTGATTAAGTGCTGCTCTGGAAGACTGCTCATACATGATTAAGAAGCATGTATATATATATCATTAATATTAGTCAACATTTGCAAGCTGGGGAAGCCCAAGAGGTTAGAGATAACAGTTAGAAGTAATGAATGGTTTGACAAAATCGGCTTTCATGTTAGCTGGAATTATGCGAAGACATTTCCACAACACAGCACAATTCATCACAGGTGATATATAAATTGTCCCTTAGCAGCAGATGGGAGTAATGCCAAAGCTCTACTTTAAAAGAACTTTTCCAACTTTGCTTTGTGTGCATAGGGCTCAGATCCAGGAAGGGAACCTAATCCTTGGAGATCAGACTAGAAAAGGGCACAACTAGCATCAGTGCATGAGAGTTCTGATTCAAGTATCAGCATTCCCCGCCAACACACACACACAGATTTTTACAAAAAACAATAGGCGTTTGTGAATCCACTGCTGAAATATCCTTCGGCAGAAATTCTAACTAAGAACTTAAGTGTAAACTAATCCAGCCGGATATAATGTTAGTCTTCAAATGAATCCATGCTGATATACACAATCATTGTGAAACTCATTAATGCACGTGATGGGTTGGGTCCAGCAGCTTTTTTTACTCAGTCTCACCCCATTTCCCTCCTTACTACAGCCCCCATCCCACATGATCCCATGGTCCTCAGCACAGCTTTTTTATATGGTCACAGGAAGTGGTGGCGGCTACAAGCATGGACGGCTTCAAAAGGGAATTAGATAAGCATATGGAGCAGAGGTCCATCAGTGGCTATTAGCCACAAGGTATAGATAGGGACTCTGGGGCAAGTGATGCTCTGTCATCTTGGTGCTTGGGGGGGTCAACAGTGGCAGGGCTTCTAATGTCCTGGCCCCACTGGTGGACCTCCTGATGGCACTGGTATTTCTGACCACTGTGGGATACAGAGTGTTGGACTGGATGGGCCTTTGGCCTGATCCAACATTGGCATCTCTTATGTTCTTATGTTCTTAAAGAAAATCCCTCCTCTCCTCTTCCCTAGTGGAAAAGCTTGCTGGATCCAACCCTCTATTAGCATGCTGCTCTGGTATACCTGATGTTCAGTTCTCCTATGGAGAATGCAAGATGTACATTTATGAAGAATTCGGGTCCTGGTTATTCTGAGCTGTTTAGACACAGAAGTACTGAAAATGATCACAGGTACCACTATATGCCACAGCCACCAGCAAACAGAGGAATTTGCCTCTGACAAAATTAACCACTCTGGGGTGATATGGAAAACCCTGTCAGAAGCAGAGGTTGCTCTATGACTCAAAAAAAATGTTAGGAACTTTGTCCACAGTAGTTAAGTTATTTCAAAGGAATGACTCTTAGTAAAGCATACAAGTTTTTTTGTTGATGCTTCTGTACTGTACAGAATAAACTGAACATGTGAACGATTCACAGAATTTGATTTCTTCTTTAAGAAATCTCATTTTCAACTATTCCTTTGTTTAGTTTCAGTCATATCATAACGACACCGAAGTAGTACTATAATAGGAATTGTGTGCTTTTAATGAATAGAATTCAGAGGAATCTAATAGTAACTAAAAAAAAAAAAAAGAACTGCTTGCTGGTCTTTAAGGTGTTACTGGACTTGGATACTGCTCTTCTACTGCAGACCAACACAGCTACCCACCTGAGACTAGGCCACTTGACAGCTATTGAGACAATGTGCGTTGACAACCGAGGGAAAATGGTGGTAGGGGATCCATGGCACAATTCATTATCTCCCAGAGGCTTAAGATATGCTGGAAACATTTCATTTCCCTCTTATTTTACTATGGCCAAATTTGACATAGTGAGACAGCTATATGTCTGCTCTACTAAAGTTTTATTTTTTAATACAGAAATGAGTGCTCAGATGAGAGAAGTGAAACCTTCCACTCTTTCCTGGTGTTAGTTTAAGCATGACTTCCCAGCCTGGCTTGCTTCCAGTTTTGAAAAGCGCTTCAAAGCAATGAAAATCTGTGATGTTTATGGTGGGGTGGGAAGATATACATGAAAAGAAATACATGGGGCAGCCCTGTCACATCTACATTGGCCTAAGCAATTGTGCATTTAATGTTCTTCAAGTGACAAATAAAGTCTAGGCTTGATAAATGAGTACAGCACATACTTAAATTTACTTCCCTCAAAATATTCTGAAGAAGAAGAGGAGGAGGAGGAGGAGGAGGAGACTGGATTTATACCCCGCCTTTTACTCAGTGTCTCAGAGCGTCTTACAATCTCCTTTTCCTTCCCCTCCCCACAACAGACACCCTGTGAGGTAGGTGGGGCTAAGAGAGCTCTTTCCAGAACTGTCCTTGAGAGAACAGCTCTGCCAGAACTATGGCTTGCCCAGGGTCATCCAGCAGCTGCAAGTGGAGGAGTGGGGAATCAAACCCGGTTCTCCCAGATTAGAGTCCGCATACTTAACCACTACACCAAACTGGCTTCTGACTCAAATCTTCCTCCAACACCACCCCCACACCACTGAGCTGTACATCTCTATTAGTAACATCTATATACTGTTCCGTATGACTACATTTCAAAAGGATACTATCCTGGCTTCATCTAAGGAGACTGAAAATGCATGGGCATATTTGTGTGTCTCCCCCCCAAAAAAAGACTTGGGCATGGAATTTCAAATGGTTCTGAAATTTTTCCCAGTAACTGTCTAATGGGTGTTTTCAGAAGACCTAAGGCATAACCTAAAGCCCCCATTCAGAGTTAGGTGTTTTCCACATGGGGACTGGCTCGTGAGGTTTCTCTGTTGCTGCTGTGGTTTCCAATACAGCGCAGCATCAATGGGGTTTCCACACAGCAGGTGAAAGTTGGGAATTCAGAGAACCTGACAGACAGATTGACATCTCACTACAAGAATATGACAACTGGAAGTTTTTTAAATGGGAGCCTTCGATGGGACCAGTGGGGAATGGCTGCTGTGGAAACTAGGGCAGGGGAAGTGGTACCCATGTGGGCAGGCCTGGGAAGATCCAGACTTTCCTGTCCATGTAAGTGCCATCCCGACTTTGCTGTGATTTTGTCAAAACATTGCAGCAAATTGGATCTGAGAAAGATCAAGGAAATCCTGGGAGGTATATGGAAGCACCATAATGCTTTGGGGGAAATGGAAGGGGGGGGGACAAACAAAACAAGGGGCTGCGGTGGCTCAAGTGGTTAAGATGCTGAACTGCAGGCTGTGGAAGGTCAGTAGTTCAGCAGTTCGAGACCCGAGTGCCGCATGATGGAGTGAGCTCCTGTCTCTAGTTCCAGCTCCTGCCAACCTAGCAGTTCGAAAGCAAGAAATTGCAAGTAGATAAATAGGTACCGCTTCGGTGGGAAGGTAACAGTGTTCCGTGCGCCTTGGTGTTTAGTCAGGCCGGCCACATGACCACGGAAACGTCTTCGGACAGCGCTGGCTCTTTGGCTTTGAAACGGAGATGAGCACCGCAACCCTAGAGTCGGATTCGACTGGCTTTCGAGCAAGGGAACCTTTACCTTTACCTTTAACAGCATTCAAGCCAGGGCAACCAAAAAAAAATATGTGTAGGTGACCTTGGAGGGAGTACTCAGTGTGCAAGAGGATATTCTTGAGAACTGGAAACTGTCATAAAAATTTCTAAATATATACACATGATGCCCTTTCTGTGCTGTTCTAAAAACCAGCTGGATAAGGCTATTCTCTCAGCTCACTTACTTCTCAGCCCGGCCCTGCACAACTCCGAAGTCTTACCACAGGGTTTCTGGCTTCTGTTCTTTTCCCCTTGCTCACTGCCAGTGTCAGTATTAAGCTGTCCTTGCGGTGACTGGAAATGGTCAAATCTCCTTTTTTAAAAAATAAATAAATCCACACACCTTAATCTGCCCTGAGCCTGTTCTGGTGGGGAGGGCGGGGTATAAATCAATCAAACAAACAAATGATCTGTATTCTGGAAATCTGGAGATGAGCAGGGACAAAAGGGCTGCATGCACATACACAGGTGAACTGCAAACACCTGGATAGTATCTGAGCTTCCAGGTGAGTTTTATATTGTGGCATAAGAGCACACGGATAGACACATACCTTGCTTGCTTTCAAGATCTCAAACATCAAGGGCAACCCTTGTGTGACCAGCTCTTCAGTGTATTCTTCCTCCTGAATGGATTTGAATTCTTTCAACAAGCACTGGATGAGAGGTCTTCTGTGCTGCTGAAAAGCCGTTCGCAAGGACTCAAGCCATGTGTGAAGAGTCCATGGGACACCTGTTTAGATTTTTTTTTTAAAAAAAGATCATAACGATTTCCATCTTTCTCAAACATTCATTAATGAGATAGCATCCCCCCCCCCCATATCTTGGAAAACATTCTGGAGTCCCCTCCTATATATACCATCTCCTCTGCTACAGTCAGTTTTCCAAACCAGCTTTAGACCTCAGTGTTTCTGAAGTACTTCTGGTTTCTTAAACACAGAGGATGGATGGAGAACCGCATCCTCTAGTGGGACAAAGTCTTTCTTTGTTTAAGGAAGTCTCCCTCTGTCGACGAAAGTCTTGGTGGAAGGCAGTTATGGGATCCAGCTTAGATGAAGAGAGTCATAGGGCCTAAACTCAGACCGGAAAGACCCAGGTTCAAATCCCTGCTCTGCCATGGAAGCTTCTACAGCAAGGGTCCCAAAACATAGTGCCTGTGGGCTCCATGGTGCTCACCAAAACCTTTCCTAGTGCTCACCAAATGTGTTAAAAAGTGGGTGGGGACAGGTGAGACATTTGCCCAGCAAGGCTTCTGATTGGCCACCTGAGATTTGATTGGCTGTGCAGATTTAAAAAAAACTTTTGTCTTGGCAGTAGCTGCCATGTTCCCTCTAAGCTGAGTTAGTGTGAGCTAGCTCACAGTTTTTTAGCCCCCGGCTCACAAATTTTAGTCTTAGCTCAGGAAGGAGGGCTCCAGAGCAAACTAATGTATGCAGTAGCCAAATCGCTCGCTCACAACTTTAATGCCAAGAACTCACGAAGTAGAATTTTTGCTCACAGGACTCCACACCTTAGAGGGAATATTGGGCCTGCCACCACAGCACAGGGATCTTCACAGTGTGACTGAATGTAAGCTGCGGCAGCCACCTTATGGCTGGATCTGCCTCTTGCAGCGATCGTTTTGTGGCAGCCATTTGGAGCTTGTGCCTACTGCACTGTGTCAGAACTCCAAAGGGGCCCAGAGGCCCAAAAAGGTTGAGGACCCCTTTTATCTAGTCACACCTTGTCAATCTAAACCACCACACAGGGGAGTTGTGAGGATAAAATGGGGAGGGAAGTCCTTGGATGGGATAAAAATGTAAGCGATTACATTCCGTCCAAGGACTTCCCTCCACATTTAGGTATTTAGATCTATCTATTATACCTTCCTGCCAACCTAGCAGTTCGAAAGCAAGAAATTGCAAGTAGATAAATAGGTACTGCTTTGGTGGGGAGGTAACAGCGTTCTGTGTGCCTCAGTGTCTAGTCATGGTGGCCACATGACCACGGCAACATCTTTGGACAGCGCTGGCTCTTCGGCTTGGAAACGGAGATGAGCACCACATCCATAGAGTCAGATTTGACTGGCTTTCGAGCAAGGGAAACCTTTACCTTTACCTACTATTATACTTACCATTGAGATATTTGGATGATTATGAAGCTGATATTAAAAAGGTTTTAAGCTAGACATTGTTTGGTGTATTTTAGTATCTCAGATCCTTCCCATAAATGATTATAGTTTCTGAAAGGCATGCAACTATGGATACACATCAGTGCTACAGAATAGTTTTAAAACATTGTGCTATATTTGAATATTAAATAAAATAATCTATGTATATTAATCCAAGATTTTATAAACCCTGCTCCTTCACAAAAATAACTCCCCTTGAAATGTGTCAGAAATAAAGTACATAAGTGGGGAACCTTCATGGACTTGCGGGAGGCATCTCATTTTCCCTTCCCCCACTATTTCCTCTTTTCCTCCTGTGAAAGCCTTCTAGCTTCTTCCTGCCTCCTCCTCTCTCTCCCATCCATCAGCCATCTTACTTTTATCTCCCACCATCTTCAGTTCTCCCTCCTTCCATACCCCTGGCAGCCTACGCCTGGGGAAACTATGGCCCAATTGTGCAGTCCTGGCTGCCTGGGCCCCCCAGTTGCATAGTAGGAAACCTGTAAGGACTTGCATAGGGCACCTCATTTTCCCCTGCATCCCTCTCCCCACACTGTTTCCTCTTTCCCTCCTCCTGGTAACCCTTATATCTACCTTTCCCTGCTTCCTTCTCTTCTTCCCACCCACCCACCAACCTATGTTTTATCATCCCCCCCCAGCTATATTTATTATTTACTTTATTTGTACCCCCAACTTCCTCCACAATGGGGACCCAAAGCAACTTACATCATTCTCTCCTCCATTTTATCCTCACAAAAACACTGCGATATAGAATAGGCTAAGTGTGTGTGACTGGCCCAAGGTCAACCAGTGAGCTCCCATGGCAAACTGGGGATATGAACCTGGGTCTCCCAGATCCTAGTCTGAAACTCTAACCACTACACCACACTTGATTTCATGGAGTGGCTGCTGCTGAACAACAGCAAGCAGCCAGGCCTGGGTGAGTCATGCCAATTGGATGGTAGTAAGTTGTCCAGTGCTTGTTGATGGGCCTATCCCCAATGAGTTTTCCCCAGATCAGAATTGTTATGAAAGGATTTGCATTATTGTGGAGACCTCTGCATTAATTGTAAGCATTACAAGCCTTCCACTTGATATGACAGGTAGGAACACTTACTTAAAAGACACTCTTTTGTTGCTCTTGGTGTACAAGAGACATTTGTAGATACAAATGTGCACCATTCATGGGAGAGGCAAATAGAACATTCACACAAGTAAGAGAAAAAAGAGCCAGCAATGTTCATGATAATAACAGTTGAGCGAGTGCTTCAATATGATCAGGCCTAAAAATTAACATCAACAGGTTCAAATACAGGAGACGACTCCCAAATGATCAAGCATGAAAGGAACTGGAAAATCTTTAGTGGAGTTTTGTTTCAAGATTCCAGTGATCTTCTGCATTCCCAGACCACATTTAAAAGTTGCTTGGGTTTTTTTTTTTACCTTGACAAGAAATCAGGAACATACCAGAAATTGTCAGAGGCCCCTCCCATCAAACCACACTTCTGACAGTCCTCTCTCTTGAGAGAGAAAGTACAGAGGCAGCTGAGACTAACCTATGCTCCTGATGTCAATGGTCACGTCCACATAACCATGTTCGGCACTGTGATACATAGCCTCTTTCAGAGCTTTCAGCTTGGCCTTGCTATTGCGGCTGGCACATAAAGGAGCCGGAGCACCGTCTGCCAAGTCAGTTCCCTCAGCCAGTATCTCCTCCAGGGACAGGATGTCACTCTTCTCCTTCTCTGGCTGAGCAAGCAGCTTACGAAACACATTTCTGTCAATCACAAAGCAGAAAGAGAGAAAGGGGGAAAGGCCACCAGGTTGTAACTGTTAGCAGTGAAGCCAGAGATACGAGTTGTCTAGCTGAAGCTTAAATCTAGTTAATTCATCTAACTATATCTAGCAAACCAGCTTACAAGCAATGCTTTGTAAAAAAAAAAAATTTTTTTTGCACAATTAGCACTGATCTGGGCCTGCAGCTGCAAGGTCCATCGTCTTAAGCGCAGACTCCATACTCCGTTCATCAACAGATTTTACACCTGTGTGATGCCATTAAAGTTTGATGGAGTTGCTCCCAATTGATGTACTATAAGAAGCAATCAATCAAATCCAGTGTGCATCTTCTCCCTTACCTCCCACCTACCTTATATGTTTAGATCTTGCAAGCTGCACATGTTCAGTCCTGTGGGGGATAGAATAAGCAATGTATCCAGAGCAAATGGGCTAAATTGTGTATGTGTGTGTGTATATGTATATATATATATCTCTACAGGGAGCGAAGAAGATACATTTTCTGTTGATTAAGATGATGTGTACATTATGGCATGCAGCATAATCGTTGCCACACCCAGATGACACAATCCAACATTCTTGGGGGTAAAGACAAACATAGTCTAAAGAGACGTCATAGCATATTCTTCACTCCGTGCAGGAATCTAGCTTTCCACTTGCCAGGCAATTTACATGATGGATGTATCAAGCTGAACACTGGGTTTGCCATCAGTTTTGCCCTTCTCCACTGCATCAAGTGGGCTGCCTTCTTTTGTTTAAAGCGTAACACATATTTTATTTATTTACACAATCATCCTTTGCTGTTGTTTTGTAAAAACTGAAACATCTTTAGAACAGTTACCAACTGCTGTGTGGTTCAGGGAGGTGATAATATAGGTGCTAGCCAATCAGTACTGCTTATAGACAGGTTTTACTGCACACTTGCAGGATTGTTTTATTCAGAGCTGAAGCCTAGAAGAAGGAAGGCATGTATTCACTGAACACAGCAAGGGTATGTCTGAACTGCTCCCTTTGGTCTGTAAATGTTATTCCTGTCTTCACTTTTGGACAATGTGAGGCCACGGCAAAATATTACTCCATAGTACAGGTAAAGCTTTTGATTTACTGCTATTCTGGAAAGCATTCATTGTATAACTGAATATTAGACAAATAATATGAATTCCCGAGCATCCCAGATTTATGCAGTGGATGTGAGAGGGCCTGAAAGCTGACCATGTGCCATGCAATTCTAGTATCTGCTGGGTACCCAGAGGGCACATGTGTTGCACAGATGTACAAATCTGACACATGAGTTTTGACAGCTGAGCTGTTTCTTTAATGTGGTGTCAGATCAGCCCCCGAGAGAATAAAACACTTAGGAGGGAGTGGAAGAAGACTTTCGTCAGTATCGAATGTTGGAACTAAAGTTCAGGGAGTAAAGGAGAAAAGATGGATTGGTGACAACAAGAAAGAACTTTTTAGGTGTCTGGTTCTGGGGATCGAGGGCATTAGACTTTCACTTGGCCCTTCTGCAAGCTAACCTCCTGTACAGCTTGCATAGACTTTCCCTTTCTCTAGGAGATGGTTCATATATTTTTGTTTATCCCTTGATTATTTGCATGCGTAAACAGCCACACAACATAGATGAATACAGGACAATGCACACAGAGGAAGAAAAGAATCAAGCACACTGGTCCTGGCCCATCTAGGATTGAACGCACTTGCTTCACCATTATCACCACCCTGGTATATGTGCTCCATAACACAGACATGTATGCCCATGCATATTCAAACTGTATGAGCATAGGCTTTGCCCCCATTATCACACATACTGTCTTACACACATTTATACATCACAGATCTAACACCACAGACAGAACTTTAATATCTCTCAATGTCAACTTCAGCTGTAATGCTTTCTGGTGGACACAGTTCACACATTCAGTCATTTAGTGCTGAATATCATACTGAAACACATGCATGTGTGAACCAGTTCTTGTTCTCTCTTTCTCTGTCTCACATATGCATGAGACATGTCCCTCTGGCATGCTTATTTCTACGAATTAAGGTATTACTACTTTAAACTGATTTTACTTGTCATCCCTTGTCTCATTCTTCCTTTACTCTCCCCCCCTCCTCTCTCATTCATGCCCTTACTTTGATCATTGAACCTGATGGCTCTTTATTTCTACCACCCCCGGTCCCAGCGGCTTCCCCCAAAGTTGGCAAATCTGGAGTTCTGCATTCAGCTAAGTCCTACCTGTTCTTTAGACTGAAAAGATCCTTCATAGCTCCCTGAGATCAGTCTTGATCTCACTCTCTCCTAATGCTTGACTCCACTTGCCAAGCTTCTGAGCCATGACTTGGAGGCTTGTTTTATATTCTTTGGTTCCGCAAGAGCCAAGGATCTGTCACCCCCATGCCTTTGCCTGTGGAAGTGGCCCAGGTTTCCATAGCTCCATACCTCCTCCAAGAGTAATAATACTATACCAGGAGTTGCTGCCCAGAAGGCTAAGGAGGAAACCTGATTCAGGCACATGTATGGACCCTGACATCATTACCAATGTCTTCACTTTCATTTCCAGAATACAGTGACAGGGAATATGCATCCTGCCTTCAGCAGACACTTCATTAAAATAACTTAAGAAGAATAATGTTGGAACGGACTACAGGTTCATCTAGTCCAGCACACTTTTCCCAGCAGTGGCGAGCCAGATGCTTCTGGGAGACCTCAAGCTGGAAATGAAAATCTGTGTTGCTGTTGGACCACAGGATCTTGTAGGTTGTATTGGCTACTAAACATGAAGGTTCCACTTCGCTATTGAACTAATGACTCCTGATGGGCTTTATCATCCATGAATCTGTGTAACCCTTTGCCTAAGGCTTGTTTTTAAAGCCAGGGTTGGGTGTGTGTGTGATAAAATGTCATCTCTGTAGAAGCTTTTGTACCGGAGAGTAACACTGTTCACACATCTTGCACAGCTTAATCTCACCTCATGGGAACTAGTCATACAACCCACTTCACTAGTGTTGTTTACCTGTGTCCGTGAGCAGCGGCTTGGCTGAAGGAGTTCATATCGCCTTGCGGAGTCATGGAAATCCCATTCCGATACATGGTCCCAATCATAGGGTCAGCACCGCGTTCCAAAAGCAAGCTAACCAGCTCAAAATTACCTATACAGCAATGATAATTAGGGCATTGTTTTAACGAGGACTTTTGGCCTCCTTAAATCAAATAGCAAAGAAGAACTTTGATACAAAAATCCTTACCAGCAGCTGCTGCAAGTTGCAAAGGAGTTTCAGAATAGTTTTCATCTCCTTGTTCCAAAGAACCTTCTACTTTGGCTCCTGCATCCAGCAACAGCTGTAAAGGAAATTTGCTATTTAGGGATCCTGATTTGTTCTTTTATACCCAATCTTTCCCTTGGAGCTCAAGGCAGCTTAAAGTTTCAAGAGTAAAAATATACCAAAAGAGAGAGAGAGAGAGGGAGAGAGAGAGATATTAAATCCCTTCCCCAAGAAAATGTCTGCAGCTCAAAGACCATTAAAAGCTCTCACAAATGAAATGGCCTTACAAAGCCTCCTAAAAACTTCTGAAGATACTGATGGTCTCAGCTCCTCAGAGAGCCTGTTCCACGTGGTGGGAGCTGCTATACAGAAGTAACAATGGACCAAGCTGGCCACCTTAAATGAATGACAGGAATATTGCAACCAGAAGACTGCATTTGGTGCACAGGGACACAGGGGGAGAGAGTCCTTCAGAAAAATGGGTCCTAAGCTGTGAAGGGCTTTAAAGGTAATAACCAGCTCTTTGAACTGAACTTGGGAATAAACTGGCAGCTCACAGAGCTGTTTAAAAATAGAGATGTGTTCCTGTCGACTAGTTCCTGACAGTAGTTGGGCTGCTGCATTCTCAGTTGCAGTTTCCAAGCTGTCTTCAAGGGCAGCCCAATGTAGAATTTAAATCCAAGATGACATCATCAGTTGGCTTGACATTTGCTTCAGCCGGCCTCTTATCAGCCTCCTTTAGTTCTTCTGATGACCTTTCTTGCACAGGAGGTTCCTATACAGCACCAGTGAAGCAACTGCCCCTTTTGAGGTTTGCTGAGAGCACCACCTTTCTACAGTCCTCCTCTTGTCACATAGCCTCCTATTTGACTTGCATGATAAATAGAGTTATGCATGAAAAGCATTAGCATGATTACTTATAGGGCAGCATGGAAGTTCATCAGGGAGACCGAACACATTCTTCAAGAGTAGTGATAGTCTGTACCAAAGTGACAAATTTGAGAAGAGGGGACCATGAAGACTTCAAAAAGGGGCACATGTTTCATCTATATATCTAATTCCCAAGGCACACCCTGCGTGCGGATATCTAAATCCACACATCGGGGGCACTTGGGGGGCAGGGAGATTTTCCTGCGCACATGAGGCAATGCCCAGGTGTGCAGAAAAATCTGAAAACTGTAAAAAAATATAGGGGGGATAATTAAATCCCCCCAAAAGTAAAAGAGCATCCCTTGTGCATGTGCAGGGAATGCTCTTAGAATGGCTTCGCCGCTGCCGCTGCCACAGAGGGGGGGAGAGAGAAGGCTTGGCTGGCCAGTGGCTGTAAGCCGCTCAGCCCTCGTCGCCGCCTAGGGGGGAGGGAGAAAGTTTGGCGGGCCGGTGAGGCCTCTCCGCCACCGCCACCAGGGAGGGAGGGAGGGAGGAAGTTTGGCAGGCCGGCGATGCCTCGCTGCCGCCAGGGGAGGGGGAGAGAGAAAGTTCAGTGAGCCAGTGAGGCCTTGCCACTGCTGAGGGGGGAGGGAGGAAGCTTGGCAGGCCAGCGAAGTCTCGCTGCTGCCGGGGGGGAAAGAGGGAGAAAGCTTGGCAGGCCAGCAAGGCCTTGCCGCTGCCACTAGGGGAGGGGGGAAGCTTGGAGGGGTGTGGGCCTCACCATGGGTGCCAGGGATGGGGGGTTACACAGGGGAGAACGCTCACCTGCGGCTGCTTCCTTCTCCCGTGGAGCTTCTCCTCCCCCCCATGAGTATCGCGGGTCCCCCTTCTTGTACTCTCTATTGCCTGTATGGAAGTGATCACTGAAGCATGCAATCACAGGCACAAACTGTAATTCAAGCAGTGGCATGACCAGCCCCAAAGTGGGTTGACCAGTGATGGGCCACTGAGGTAAATTACAGTTTGAGCAGCAATGGAGTGATCAAAAAGCAACTTCACCTTGGGCACACCGGAACCCAGGCTTGTGAAAAAGGTTAGCTCAAAAGGAAAGCAAGAGTCAATTCTCATGTTACTTTGCAAACTTTGGTACCTCTGTTCCCAAGTTTACTGCAGAAGAATCCAGCCAATTAAACATGTGTGGGCCTTTCCCAATTCACAGCATCTGAGCGCTGTCCATAGAACAATAAAATAGATGAACTGGTCTTCAATCAGTCATGCCTTCTATGCACATTTAAATCCCACTGATTTCAGTGAAGTATGCATGATGAGAGAAACATGGGGTTCCAACACTGTATTGCCTCCTTAACCCTAATGCTGGAGAGACATGTGGAGGCAACCAGTAGCTGAGAGAGATCCGTAATTCTTCTCCCGCCCGCCAATTTCCTGCTGCAAATGGCATCCCTGAGAGTTCTATTTTCCCTGAAACCATGTGTTAGCCACGATAACATCTAACTCTGCCTTCCAACATTCTTTATCTTTTCTGGATCCAATCCATTGTCTATATGCCACAGTGAAGATGAATGAGCTGCAATTTTTGCTTGTCTGTTTGCCAGTGTCATGCTCTTCTCCTATTTAGGCTTATAAGTAGGTCATTGTCATAACAGAACAAGCTACACTGAAAGGAAAAAGCAGATAAACATGTTTACATGGGTTTCTAAACAACTTTAGAAACTAGTTTAAAACTGTTCTGGTCAGCGAAAACTGTATTCTGCTAAATCCAGATGGTTGGTCTATCTAGCCCCCTGCTGTGTACTTTTACAGGCAGGCAGGGACTTTTTCCAGCCATGTCCTCTTAGCTCCTTCTCACTGGAGAGACCAGAGATTGAACCGAGGGCATTCTGCTGCAAACAAATCTTTTTTAAAAAATTGTAAATACAAAGTAGGAGTTTTGTAATTGTTTAATATTTAGCCGTTCAGAAAAGTGAAAGATGCAGAAGTACAAAGTATCTATCCTTCTAGGGAAAAAACATCAGATGAAACCTAGGAGGAAAGGATTAAGAATACATATTATGGCTGGGTGAGGGCAAAAGGGAAATGTGCCCTTTATGCTTCACTCTGGGTCTCTTTCTGTTCTCAAATCAGCTTTACAACCTGAAGTGTTTCAAGAAATAATACAGAAACTGTGCGATGGTATGGCGTTTGTAAAATTTGCCTTGTACACTAGTTGCTCTCACAACCACCTGGGTACTCAACATGGTCTTCACAATTTGTGTAAAGTCAATACAGTTTTCAACTTTGCCTTCAGAGAAGTTGCTAGAAGGAAAATGGAAGCACAGTGTGTTTGAAATTGAAGTCCTGAGTGATGCAGTGACAATGGCAAATGATATTCCAGTGATGGCGAACCTTTTAGAGACCGAGTGCCCAAACTGCGACCCAAAAACCACTTATTTATCGCAAAGTGCCAACACAGCAATTTAACCTGAATACTGAGGTTTTACTTTAGAAAAAACAACTCATACATTAACTTAAGATGATCCAAGCAAAGTAAGGAAAGCAATCCCAAATGCTTTCATTTACTTAAAATTATTTGGCAGAGAATTCGACACTTTAATGATGGTCTGGGCCTGGCTGGGGCGATGGCACGCATGCCCACAGAGAGGGCTCTGAGTGCCACCTCTGGCACCTGTGCCATAGGTTCGCCACCACTGGGATATTCCATCTGACCACTGGCACAATTTTATGAGGTCCTGCAGCAAGCTATCCTATCAGCTGTGTGAGCAAGCAAGGCAGCAGAAGAGACTGAAGATATGTGACCTGCAGATATTGAAGGTGCTATACATCTGCTCCCCACAAATGAATACTATTTGGATATGCCCCACTAAGAACAACTAACGTTAGAACTGCCTTCATGGATCACACCAAAGATCCATGTAAAAAGCAGAGGTCAGTCAGATTTCCCTTCTGTGCTCACAAACAGAATATAATGGGGATAGACATTCCCTGTTTATCCCAGCACTAGGTAATCAAAGGAATATGTTCTCTGAATGCATCTTCAGCTATTATGGCTTAATAGTCGTCTATCCGTCATAAATCTGTCAAGTCACTTTTAATTTCATTTAAGTCTGTGACCTCAACCACATCCTATGGGAATAAATCCCATTAGTTAATTAGACACAAGGCATCACTGGTGCTGAAGCATCAGCCAGTCAGTTTCACCAGATAACTCTACATTCTTGCATTTTAAGAGAGAAAAATTTCTCTATTCATTCACTGGATTTGTACAGCATTATTCTTCCCTGCTTTTTATGGCTCGAGTAAGATTTTTTTGGCTGTAGAACGTAAGGAAAAGGGTGAGGGGGAAAGAGCTCACATTATTTTCACTGACACCAGAAAAGGCTGTCAACAAACAGAGACATAAAAGACATGACCAAGAAGGAACAAAAGGGAATTGATAGGACTTTACTGGTGTGACCTCATTATAAAATTACCCTGTTTAAGTTTCATATTGGCCTCACTGTAGATATATATATATATATATATATAATAGGGGTATTATATATAAACATAGCAAACCAAGAAGAAGCAAGGAGTAACCAATATGAGAATGCTGCCAGTTATGCGTTGGAGTGCCAGTTCAAACCTAAAGATGATAAATAATATGTGGGATGGAGCAAAAGGAAATACAGCAATACCTGAACTACAGGAATATGTCCATGCAACACAGCAAATGTCAGGGCTGTCCAATGGCGGGTCTCGGGGTGGACGGATGGGTATTTATGAGGAGTACTGACAACCTATAAACAGATAAAGTAATTTTCTTTTATAAATGGCTCTCAGGAAAAGCTGTATGTAATAAAAAACAAACATGCTAAAAAGGCCAGGCACACAGATATTACAGGAAAGCAAGCAAGCAAGCAAGCGGCACTGTAAAGAGTGATCGAGTTCTGCCGTTTTCTTCTTTTTGCTAGACCAGATTTTACAACAATATGGGCTGCATCCTGCAGACACATTCCTCTGTCACGAAGAGCTCTCCTCTGACAAAGAAGGGCCTCTTGAACGTGGAAGGCTTTTGGTGCCAGAGGAAAGCACTGCTTCTAGCAGATGTGTTCTGTGGGATCCAACTCGATATTTCCTTACCACTCTTTACTGCCTTTCAATGGAGAAGTCTATGCCTGTTATAACCAATTCCTACTAACCCACTGGTTAATAGCATCAGTTTGTCACTGGTTACGGTTGAAGGCTGAGTAATAGTCTGGACTGCTGGTTTTTCCAACTGTGCTGTAGAGAACCCTGGCTTTCTTTCAAAGCTTCTCAGGAGTTCTTTAATTAGAGATCAGAAATAGAAGGCAAGCTCCCATGAAAAACAGCTTGCCCTGCACCACTTACCTTCCCTCTGCAAAATGCTGTGGAAAGGGAGCACTAGGTGTATTCTGGGGAGCCCTTTCAGTTCACATAAGGCAAGGATGAGGCCCAACAGCACGCTGCAAGAAGTGAGTGTGCACCTTAGAATGTGCCCCAGAATTATTTGCCCCATGTAATAGTTCTACAGCTAACATGCAAGAGTTCTTCAGCCAATCAGCCAGTGGTGAAAGGGCTCCCTGAAGATAGTTTGAAAACCATTATCTGGTCTGTAGAGTTTAAATGTCACACTTTGCCCAAAAACATCAGCCACAAGTTTTAAAAAAATATTTCAGTGGGGCTGTATTAAGTTCCAATAGAGTCCATCCCCCCATTCTTATAGATGTTCCATTGAAATTTCCACTGCAAATTTATAGGGTTTTGCTTTATTAATGTGTCAGTTTTCTATTTACTTAGTACATTTCTATCCTTCTGCTTCTCCAAGGAGTTCAAGACAGTGCTCATCATTGTCTCCTCCTCCATTCTGTCCTGTGAGGCAAATTAAGCTGAGAGAGAATGACTAGCCCAAGACCACCCAGCAAGCTTCCATGGCAGTGTGGGGATTTGAACCTGCATCTCCAAGATCCTAGTCCAGCACCTTAGCCACTACACCACGCTGCCCACCTCAGCGTGTCATCAATATGTCCTTTCCTAGCAAAATCCCGAGAACAGCTGTGGAGGTGAGTAACTGATTCCTCAACTTGCCAGAGCAGCTGTCAACCCGATCATGCAATTGTTTGAGATATAACAAAGGATGTTTCATGAATGGGACACGTGGGATATTATTCCTGGCATTGCAGTATTTTATTATCAATCTGTCTTGGTTTTTAATTATGCAATTATATTTTTGACAAGCGTAGGCCCAAGACACTCACAGGGGAGATTCCCAGGCCTGCATCTCTGCTGCTGGCGGGCCTGGCACAACTCTCAGGCTGCACCGGTGGTGGCAGCATGCCAAGTGCAGCTACCAGGCTGTGCTGGTGGCAGCATGCCCAAAAGGGCTGCAATTGGGTCCAGCACAGATCCCGAGCTGCACAGCTGCCACTGGGCCCAGTGCAGAGCCCTGGGCTGTGCAGCCAACACTGGACTCAGAGCGGAGTCCTGGGCTGTGCAGCTGCCACCACTTCCACCAGACCATTGCTGAGCCCAGGCTGCACAGCCACTGGATCCAGAGCAGCTCCCTGGTGCCACAGCCACTGACCACAGGAGGTAAGTGTTTTAACTTGGGGGGGGGGATTTAAAACCCCTGTGTATTTTTTTTTTTTTCAGATTTTTCTGCAAACCTGGGGAGTCTGCAAACCTGGGGAGTCTGTTCAGCATCCATGTGACCCCAATCCATGGATTTAAGTATCTGCAAATGGGGGTTGCTAGTAATATATGGACTAGTGGGGGCCCATGAAACTCATGGGGGGGATCCCATCTCCCCCCCCCCATTGCTGAGTCTTGAAGCCTGATGGCAGTGTCTGGAAGCCACTCCAAGCCCAGAGCAGCTCCCAGTGCCTGTTGTTGCTGAGCCCAGAGCAGCTCCCAGTGTCCACTGCCACTGCCGCAGGGCCCTGAACAGCTCCTAGCATCCACCACCACTACTGCAGGGCCTGGAGCAGCTCCCAGAGTCTGCTGCCACTACAGCACGGCCCTGAACAGCTCTCAGCGGCTGCCACTGCCATGGCAGGGCCCTGGACAGCTCCTGGCATCTACCACCACTGCAGCAGGGCCCAGAGCATCTCCCAAACTGCCAGCCATGGCTCCCAGACTCCACCACACAGGTAAGAAGGAAAGGGCTACTTTAATTTTCAGGGCATATAACCCCACCCCACCCCAGTGTATTTTTTTAATTTTCAGATTTTTATTCAAATCTGGGGAGTGCCCCAAGTTTGCTGAAAAATCTTTTTAGCCTCTGCGTGGCCCCAATCTGCAGATTTAGCTATCCACAGATGGGGGGGGAGCACGGGTGGCTATTAGAACATAAAATAAGCTGCCTTGAGCAGTCTTCAAATGGAAAGGCAGACTAGAAATCCTCTAAACATATACAACTACAATCTCAGTCACAATTCCAAGCACTCCCATACTGGGTTGAATTTGAAATTAAACAAAGGAAGTCAAAAGACAGCATAATATTAGCAACATAGTTTTGTATTCACAGTTCTCATTTAGTTCAAAAAACATGCTTGAGAGAATGAGGTGCACATTCCATGTGTCCAACAGAAAACTGGCTTCAAAAGAAGTAGTCATTTTTTTCACTGCATTCTTGCCTATTACAGATCCAAACACACACACACACACACGCACAGAGAGAGGAAAACCAAAGTATACGAAGTCTAAACACTTTAACTGTTTCATCAGATAAAGTGGATTCTGTCCTACAACTATTACTACCACAATAAAAGCATTAGGGCTCGAGCCTATGATTACACAAGTTGAAGACCTTGTAGATCTTTCTCTACCTTCCCCCTCCCAGAGGGGCCCTCTGTGATCCCCAAAAAGAGATCGCTGAGGATGACAGGACCAAAAAGCAACCAGGAGTGGTAGAGGCAGCAATGGAGGGGGAATCAGGTAAAGCTTCCCCACCCCACCCTTGTGTCAACAGAAAGCTTGTTTCACTACACTTCCCTGGGCTAACAGAAGATACTGCTCAGTCCCCCCTCCTCATTGCAAACTCCTTTAGATAGCTCCCCCTTTTGATCCACACAGATCCCACAACCCTCAGCAATGCCCTTGGGGAGGTTCCTGTAGGAATGAAGATCCACCTCTCTAAATGCCTCCCGTTCACACAACCATAGGATCCAGCCCTTCATCTTTAAAGTGACAGAAGACTCTTACTTGTTTTGCTATAATAGATAAATGCAGCTATATACCACTGGAAAGTCAATGGTAATCTTCTGGGGAACCTACGGACCAAGCCTGCAAGTTATGAAGGTCCATGACATGCATGGAGGACTCTGAATGTGAGTGGAGACAGCAATGGGGAATGGAGGGTTTAACTATTTCCCCTTGTGCTGATCTCCAGATTTAAATCATGAACAAATCATGAACACCTCTTCGCCTGGGGGGTGGGGAGAGAGGGACTTGGTAAGAGAGCCATGGAATGTAGTGGGTTAGCCAGCTCTAGGCAAGAAGGACAGAAGCACTGGACTGTGCAAATGGATAATTAAGTAACACAATTCTAGCCCATCAGCTAGCTAGCTAACTGCCCTTTCAATAAAAGTTTCTGTAGTTATCTCAGGATTCACTAGTCCCCCTCCCAAAAAAATCCTTTAAATTTTTTAACAAAGATAATGCTGTGTTTAGAAAACTTGTTGTTTTATTAAATACAGGCTCCTGATAGCTTGAAGGAGATAATCTGTTTGCTTCCCATTAGCAAAAACTCCCGTCACACATGGCGGGAAATGCTTTGAGATTACTAATATGTGACAGCTGTTTTGCATGCAGCCAAACTATCGCATGATAATCTGATTTATTGGTCACGCAAATCAAGTGTAAGGGAAATTTCAAACCTGATTCTTTTAAAAGTTCTTTTTGCATTTTCTACCCTTGTAGCGTGGATGCTAAAGCCATAGCAAAACAAGAAAATGCAGTCTGTCTTTAAAAGAGCTTTCCCCTTCATAAGAACATAAGAGAAGCCAATGTCGGATCAGGCTAATAGCCCATCCAGTCCAACACTCTGTCACACAGTGGCCAAAAATACCAGGTGCCATCAGGACATCCACCAGTGGGGCCAGGACACTCGAAGTCCTCCCACTGTCGACCCCCCCCCCCAAGCACCAAGAAGACAGAGCATCACTTGCGCCAGAGTCCCTATCTATACCTTGTGGCTAATAGCCACTGATGGACCTCTGCTCCAGTATTTGTCCAGTATGATAAATTAGTTTAATGTTATTAAAAATGCCAATACTAAATTACATTAAGGAGGATAAGCAAGTTTCAACTTAAGATTTCCTTAGAAGACAAAATGTAAGTTTTAAACAATATTCCAGTTTCCGACAACCACTGATGAGATTGTCTGAGGGAAAGTATGGAGCAGCCAGGTACTCAGTAACACATGAAGATGCCTTATACCGAGCTGTGGAAAGTATAGGACCTTGACCTATCAAGGTCAGTATTGTCTGCTCTGGCTGGCAACAACTCTCCAAGGTCTCAGTGGTCCTTTCCACACTTGGATCTCATCCCTGGTTTTATCAGAGTTCACCTTGCAACACAATAACTTGCATTTATCCCTGGTTATAACAGCATCCGTTTATCCCAGGACAAGTGTGGGGCGAAACCAGGTGACCTCAATGTAATGTGGAAACAAAAAATACCCTGAGATAGTTACAGGGGTGAACTTGAGTATAGTCTAGAATGCACGTTCAGGGACAGGGTTGAACCAGGATTTAAGGTCTAGTGGGGAATCACCCAATAACAGGTTTTTCATATCACCTGCTACCTCATCCTTCTAAATGGAGATGCCAGGGACTGAACCTGGAACATTTTGGACAGAAGGCAGATGCCCTGCCAATCCCATTCCAGCTGTGAATTTCAAATCCTCTTCCTACCAACTGTCATCAATAAGGCCAATGGAGAAAAGAGAGGCAATAGCCAGGCCCCTCTCCATCATGGCCGAATCCAACTCAAACGAGAACCCCTTACTTGAGGAACATTTTGCACCAAATTTTAATTGTCATTGCCACTAGATTTTGATGAGCCACTTTGGGAGTCCACATTTGGCTGAAATTTTGGATAAATATATAATCAATAAGCAAACAAATGAAATATATATTTATTTGCTTATGTTTTCCCTTTTCAAACACAGTATGCATACCTAAAAGGGGGAAAGTGCCCAAATATAGACTTTTCAGTTAATACCACATAACCTTAAACAATTGAAATATGTTATTATGTCTCCACTCTCCAGTCTTTCCTTTTTAAAAAGTTCTTTAAGCACCAAAAAATAGAAAATCTGATTTGGGACAGGACCATAGTGCCAGGGAGGGGGTAGAGCTAAATATGTTTCCCTATGTTACAAATAGAACATTTGATGAGCTTATGATTCACATCAGGAAACAATGCAAGGGGAAAGGATTAAAACCCTCCTTGCCCAGCACTGTGGTCCAAATCCAAATAACACTCCCCCCCCCCCCCCCCCCGCCATGGCTGCTATTTATACAAGGTGAAAGAGACAGGAGATCTCCTTGAGCTGTGCCCTCACTGAAGTGGTAAACATGTCTGTATTGTACCTGATATCTAGTTTTCTATGTGGAAGGATTTTTTAAAAAATAGAGGATCACTAAATTATGTGACCTTTAATCTGCAGTGTGAAGTACACTAAAAGGTAAAGGTTTCCCTTGCTCGAAAGCCAGTCGAATCCGACTCTAGGGGGCGATGCTCATCTCCATTTCCAAGCTGAAAGGCCAGTGCTGTCCGAAGATGTTTCCATGGTCATGTGGCCGGCATGACTAAATTACAAGGTGCAAGGAACACTGTTACCTACCCACTGAAGTGGTACCTATTTATCTACTTGCAATTTCTTGCATTCGAACTGCTAAGCAGGAAGGGAATGGAACCCTCGGCTGTGGCCTCCACCCCACGAGGAGCCCCTGGCGCCGCCCACAAGGAGGGAGGGCCAGCCAGGACCCTCCCCCTCGCCCTTCTTGGCAGGCTCATATGCCAATGGCAGGGAACGGACTGCAACTGCGACAGACACGCAGCCCCTCCTCCTGCTTCCCAGTTCCTTCTGGGGCACGCTGTTCTGCTGGTGGAGAAAATGAGCCCAGATCCAGGTGGGGAGTGAAGAGGTGGGGGGAGTGTGTGGGCCCTTCTTCCCCATCCTGGATGATGTGCGGTTCCTTCCCTTTGCAGTAGTCCACCCAGTCCAAGCCAGGGGAGCTCTGCCGCCTCTCTGTTCTCAAGGAGGGTGCGAGAGGAGCAGCAGAAGCCAGCCTGGGCCTCTCTCTCTCTTTCTCGGGGCCTCCGTGCCCTGCCCCACTGCCGGTCTTCATGTGGGGCTGGTGGTGGGAGGTCTCCTTCCCTTCGCCTGGGCGCTGTCTTGATGCTCCCCGAAGGGTGAGCGATCAACTGAGGCTGCGATCACACAGGCTAAATAATCCACTTCCAATCAACTTCCCAACTGGATTTTGGCAGTACAGTAAAAAATCCAGTCGGAAAGTGCATTGGAAGTGAATTATTTAGTGTGTGTGACCACAGCCCCAAGTTCAGATGCTCCTGCGTCTCTGAGGAAGGTGCGCCTCCGACGCCCATCTTTTTGCTCACAAAGTTCCCTCCGGTTGGTCACAACCAGTGCACCGCCCACCCCCCATGAGGCGCCGCTTCCAAGAGTCCTGGATGCGACTGGGCAAAGCCAAGCCTACCGGCAGATCTGCACTGGGAGAATCCATGCCAACTTACTTTGCCGGTGTTTTCTGTTGGGAGGGCTGGGGAGGGAGTGGGACCCGCCCGGAGGGCTTCCTCCCCCTCCATAAGCCCTTAGTAGCGGAAACTCTCCTTACTTCTGAGAAAGACTATGAGGCTCACGATGAAAAGCTACAACAGCTAACATCATACCTACTTACGGCGACACAAACCACCATCGCAGCTGCCTGGAAGTCACCTAAGTCTCCAAGTTTAGAGGCCTGGAGAAATAAAGTGTGGGAACAATTCCTGATGGATAAGATAAGTGACACTTTAAATATAGCTCAATCGAATCTCTGTACAACGAAATCACTCTTTGAGCGCACCTGGTTCCCTTACCTTCAATATATGACTGAGAAGGATTTACTCCCAAACAATCCGGCCTATGCTTCTTGGTTATGCTTCTGAATATAAAACAGTATAAAGTACTCCAGTATTACAAACGCTGCACTGTATATAACAATATAGCTCCTATCAATATCCTCATAACAAGAGTCTTTGGTTGATATATATTTATTTCGTATAAATTCAGTAATGATTTTTTTTTAAGTGCTTTTGGATTTAGACTTCAATGTAGCCATAATTTTTTTAAGCAAAGTGTTTACTGTTTGGTATTTATACTCTGCTTGGTTCTGGTATTTTTGATGTAGTATGTTGTTATTAAAATTTTTAATTTAAAAAAAAGAAAGAAAGACTATGAGGCAGGCTATCTGCCACCCCCCCACCCCCAAACCTCTCCACTGAAAGCCAAGGTTTGGCATTTGATGGGGTGGTGGCTCTGGCTGTCCAGACGACGGGCAAGGAGAGTGAGCAGGAAAGGGAACGGAATCAGTAGGGAAGTGGCTAGAGACAGACTGGTCTTCAAAAGCAGTTTTCCTTCTGCTGCCAGACTCTGACCTGCAGTTTCCGCCAAGGTTTTCTTGCCTAACCACTTGCAGAATATGAAACGATGGCACTTGCTTCTACCCACACCACCACCACCACAACCCAAGGAAAATACAAACAAGCTCTTCAAGCCAGAATTTCAACTATTGTTTAAAATGTTGCCAGCATTCGTGCTGGGATTTTAACGTCATTAGTTTCATCACTTTGTGTCCTTCCTCCCCACCTCCCATTTCCATGACAGCTGATGTCAGAGATGAGTTTTAGTTTGTGTATCAGTTTCATTTTTAAGCCAATATCACTACTTAAAGGTAAGAAAGGAAAAAATGGAAATATTAATTTTTTAAAAACAAATGTTCCTTGTTATTAAGGTTGTACTGTTCTTGTGCTACAGAAGGTTACACTTTAAACTCTTCCCTAAATCTCTAAACCAGTAATTTATTTAAAACCAAACCTTCCACAGAAATAACTCCCCTTTTCCAGACCTATTCCAGAAATAACTCCCCTTTTCAACATCACAACAGGATTTGTCAAAATGCTTTGTGATTTGTGTTTTTCAGTTTGAGAGAGAAAATAAGAGACCGTATTACTTGTTCTCACAATTAAAAAAAGAAATTGGCAATTTCAAATTTTGTGTTTTTCATTCTTCCTAAAATGCATTTATGTTTGAAAATTGGTGGGTGCGCCCCCCCCCCAGAAGGTAGCCTCGCCTAGTGTGCAAAAAAACCTGGCACTAGCCCTGTATGGCATTATACCTCATTGAAGTCCCTCCTCTCCCAAACCCTGCCCTCCTCAGTCTCCACCCCCAAAATCTCTAGGTATTACCCAACCCAGAGCTGGCAACACTACTCCCCCTCCATAAAGCTACTTTTTATGGCCGAAGGTTGCATTTGGAGTAAGAGGGCCATGACAGAGATATATAAAATTATGCATAGTTTGAAACAAGAGGAGAGAACTTTTAATTCCTCTCCCAAAGAACCAGAATTCAGGGGTGCTGTAGAAGTTGATGGGTAGTAGATTCAGAATAGACAAAATAATGTAATTCTTGGACCGGCCCAGTTTCTGCTGCCCTGTGCCTCCTCCTAAGTAAGTATTTTCTCCCTCAGGAACTGGCCCTGGTCCTCATTCCTCCCATCTGCTCTTGCCATGCTTTCATGGACCCCCAGGGTGCCTCCTTCTGCCCCGCTACTGTGCTGCTGGCATGCTTAGGACAGTGCCAGTGTCCTACCTCTTCTCCCCTAGGGCTGGGGTGCCCAGGTATGTGACACCTCCAAAGGAATGCTGCCTCTCACCTATCCAATCATACATTACCAAGGAAGGAATATGGCACCTGAGTCTCAGATGTGGGTCTCCTGAATATATTCAGGACAGAAGGAGAGGGGCAGTAATTCTCAGTCCTGAACTAAATGAGCTAAATGAATGAACAAAAAAATGAACTAACCCCCCCCCCCACAACAGTGTTTTCGAATACATTTTTCTCAATTCAAACTGAACATTCCAGTTTCCAACAGTAGCATCCTTAATACTGGGTTCCTGCAGGTTTCTGCAACATATTCCTAAAAGATGTAAATAACACACATGTTACCATAACAGTGGTCTCACCTCAGCATTTAGATCTGCTCCAGCATCTAGCAGCATCTGGACCATGGCCTCATCACCCCTCACACAAGCATACATCAGTGGAGTCATGCCCTGTGTGAAGATCAATTTCAAAATGTTGTTATGTTTACAGTGAAATGGTTGGATTTGAAGAAAAGTTCTCTGAACATATCCTCTTAAGGACAAACATGGCATGCATGCCTAAAAAAAACAACAAGGTTACAAAACCCTCTGGCAGACCCATCTTTAACATATTTATGTGGGAAGTAAAGTCCCATTCATCCCATCAAGAATTTCAAGCATATTTAGGATCGCAGCTATAATATTTCAGAAACAAAGTTTTAAAATCTGATAAGTTTTAATGACTGAGATGCCAGCCTCCAGATGGGACCTGGGGATCTCCCAGAATTACAGCTCATCTCCAGACTACAAAGATCAGTTCCTCTGGAAAAAATGGATGCTATGGCATTGTACCCCACTGAGGTCCCTGTCCTCCCCAGGCTCTACCCCCATATCTCCAGGAGTGTCCCAACCTGGATCTGGCAACCCTACCACACATCCCCTGCCAGTGGACGGGGGGACCTGACAATCCTATTAAATGCCTGCAACTAAAACATTTTGTGCCACTGCACTGCCTACTACACAAAAATAATATCACTGCACTATCAACATGCCAACAAGCAGCTATATGGGTGATCACTTGAAATTCATTCAAAATATACAGTTTGAAACTCTGGAACTGCATGTGGAGCCTTGCCATGCATATTGGCCTTTGCAGCAGTGCTTTTTGCAACATGACCCATGCAGTTTCTTGGATGTATGAAGTGGGCCTGAGGGTAGAACTGCTTATCATCCATAATTTTCTCTTTGACTTCTACACATTGTCAATAATAAAACCAGACATTAAGTTCTTCTCATTCTTCTGTACATAGCATGGATTTGGGCCTGATTCAATTGCCTACTTGGGCTAAAAATCCTGCTCCTGTGGTGGACAACATGTAGCCAACATGTTACACATGACTGAGCATTCTGCACAGATGCCTATGTTCACAGTGATGGAAAGCAACAGCAGGTTGCAGCCAACTCAGAGGTGGTTTGCCATCGCCTGCCTCTGTGTAGCAACTCTGGACTTCCTTGGTGGTCTCCCATCTAAGTACTAACCAGGACCAACCCTGCTTAGCTTCCAAGATATGATGAGATCAGGTTAGCCTGGGCCATCCAGGTCATGATATTCAGAGAGACTCAGATAAAAGGAGAGGGAAGCAAAGGTTACACGATTCAGTCCTACACACATAGGACATCTATGCAGAGCCCACATTTCAAATAATATATTATAACAGGTGGTGGAGGGGCTGTACTCATCATCTCCACAATAAAGACAGGATCTTTGGCCCAGATAAATATGTAACCCATGCAACTGTCCTTACTGAATTGGACATAATAAGACTTAAAACATTTTCCACAAAATTCCTCCATTAGCTTTTTTTATGAAGGCAGCCCTGCCTTTACAGAGATGAAAATTTAAATCCCACTGTCTTCTATTCAGCTGAAACTACACTGGGCCTTTATCTCATAAAAAATTGCTCCTTTAGCCATTTAATGAGCCTCTTTTTGACAGGTTAGACTCAAACGTTATATATTCACTGCCAATACAGTTAATGGTTGGAGGAGCAGATGCTTTTCTACACTATTCCTTGGTACATAGTGACTTAATTTTAAATGAAATGCCAAGACAACACTGCAGAAAGTTGCTAGCTCTAGGGAAATGCTGCCCTGTTTGGAGGAACTAGATTAGCTGACCCTTCATTACAGAGATGCCTGGCTGCAATTTATATTAATCTGAAATACCCAGAGCTGCTGATCAATGTATCCCTTATGATTAGTGTTACACTGAAAATGGTATTAGGCAGAGATGGAAGGGAAAGTTAAATGCAGCACAAGTGAAAAAAAGGGAAACAACTGTTACTTATATTCAGCGGAGGAAAAGGAAAAGAAGAGAATAGGTAGATGTGGGTGGAAGAATAGTCCTCCAAGGAGAACGGTTATAAGAGGAGAGACATTCAGGGCGCAGCTAAACAAGATTTCGCAACCAGATCTCCCAACATCTTTAATTTTATTTGGAAGCAGCTGAGGCAGGCCTTAAATTATATTGGGGAGACATTTTGGTGTTTTTTAAATGTTTTTTTAACGTTGCCTAGCAGGGCTATTTAGACTGGAGAAATCATAGAGGGTGAAAAAAGACTCCCACAGTGCCATATCAGCAATCCATTTACCAACCCACCCCACTGCCCATGGCTGCTTGTAAATAAAATTGAAAACATTGGGAGATCAAATCATGGATCTCCTGTGTCTCATTTAATTGAGCCCTTGTTACAGATTCCAAATGACAGAAAAGACTCAGGGACAGAACTGCACGTTCTGTGAAATTCCATAATTATTTTTGAAATGGGGTTTTCTTTTCTTTCTCAGATTGAAGACACCAGGGCTGCAGTTTCCCTGCTGGACATCCCCTAGAAATCAAAGCACCAACACCTGTAATCTGCAAAGGGGAAGACTTTTAAAAATCGAACTACACAGGACATGGAATTCTGCCCTTATCCAAATTACTAGTTCTGTAAGAGAGAATAGTGGGAAAAGCTAAACAACCCTGTGCATACAAGAGAGAACAGGGGGGGGGGGGGGGGGAGGCAGGGGTGCTGCTCCTCTAATCAGTTTCAGTTTTGTACCTGCTCACTCATGCTGTTAATTCCATCAGGACCTAGTAAAGAAATGGCCTGTTTGACCAGATCTGTTCGGCCACAGGTCAGCATTCGGAATCCCAGATCTTGCTTGAATTTTGCTTCTATGGCTACAGCATCCAGCTTCCGGGAAGCACAGAAACAATCATCAATCCTGTGAATAAAGAAACAATTAGGAAGCATTTAAAAACAAAACAGACCAGTCATTTAAACACAGCAACATTTTGCTTTTAAATATCATACAGCACTGTTGCTACAAACAACGAGTATAACACTCTGTCAAGGAGAATTCAGATACAGCAAATCCTACAAAAGCTATCCTGAACAGCCTCACTAGTTATGGTTGCCATTTCTGAATCAGCTAGCATAAATTCAACAGATACAATTTCTTTTCTAGCAAGAAGATGCAGCAACAGCATCACATATCAATTTGATTTTTGCCTCTCAGCAAAAAAAAATGTTTGAGTCACACTCGGGGAAAGGTAGCAATGCTAATTCTATGATTCATGCTCCAGAGAAGCCATTTAGTCCAAGGCAGCCAAAACAACAGAAGTCATATGATACCTAAGAGATTTATTGCGGCAGAAGCTTTTGTAGGCTAGAACCCACTTCATCAGATGAATCTGAAAAATGTCAAGAGTTGTCCCCCCCCCCCCCCCCCGATCTATGATTGTTTACTGATACAATCTTCTATAATTTATAGTAAGCAGCTTCAAGCAGCTCTGAGCAGTAGTTTAGTTTCACAATAACCCTGCAAGGTAAATGAAATGTAGAGAGATACTTCCCAAGGCCATACAGCAAGCTTCACGGCTGAACAGAGGTTTGAACTCAAATCTCTCATGTACAACCAACACCAAATGAAACTCTAAGCACCATAACAGCAATCATGCGTATTCTTCATATAATACAGCTGCTACACTGGCAATACCATCATAAGCATCCATCTGTCCATTGACTTCAATAGAATTTGAAGGGTGTAACTCTGCTCAGGCTGCCACAGTGAATAGCATATATTTAATTTGGGCTGATTCATATATGGTCAGATTTAATAAGATCTACATATGTACGGTACGTGCTTCCATGTGCAGCCAATAATGTGTTAACCTGTCTTTCCATCTCCAAAAATGGCTGCAAGTTAAGTCAGAAAGCACAGCTACATATCACAGCTAGGCATGTAACAACCTTGGATCATGTGTGACTTCCTATACACATTGTGGCAGACACAAAGAGGACTTCCATGGCCTTTGCCATCCAACATTATGATCACATTACCATGCTGGTTCACTGAGGGCCTGAGGCACAGAGCTATACTTCTTTGAATGTAGGCTATTGTTACCACATTTGCTGCTCTCTGAACTGTAAGGCAGTTCTCCCAAACTATTTTTCTACTTTATTATTTATTAATTGAAATATTTATACCACACTTGTCTCCTATGGCTCAAGACTGTTTACAATTATAAATAAAAGCCATCCATAATACAGCAAAACCCCATTAATTGCCCCCCAAGAAAATGAGGAGGAGCAGGTTTTTATACCCCACTTTTCTATATCTTGAGGAATCTCGAAGCAGCTTGCAATCGCCTTTCCCTTCCCCTCCTCACAGCAGTCACCTTATGAGGTAGGTAGGACTGAGAGAGTTCTGAGGAAAATGTGACTGGCCCCCAGTGGGGGATCACGCCCAGTTCTCCAGATTAGAGTCCACTACTCTTAACCACTATACTATGCTGGCTCTAGAAAACACAGCCTCACAGTTCCTCCTAAAATCTTTGAAGAATAGTGTAATGTATTCAGATGCTGCCCTGAATGCATGAGGATGAACGTAGAATCATCCCATAGAGAAGCTATGTTAAGCTTCAGAAGTCGGCAAGGATTCGCGCCGAAAACATTGTGTCCAATCACATTTGAATGTCTGTAAGTGGGAACGCTTGTGATTGGTCTGTTATGCGATCAACCTGATAGGTTGATAATTGTATAGTAGGTGTGGCTACATTAGCCCAGAATGTTTAAATACCGAACCGCTGCAATGGAAGCTGGTTCGGGCGATCAGATGTTGTACCGTGTCAGAGAAGTTGATCATCGAGCTGAAATAAACCTGAATTTTGCTGAAATCACTCTCTGGCTATTTGTTGAGCACGGACTTAACAAATAGCATCCTTCTCACCTACTCAGGGAGATGGGAGGTTTCAGAAGATGGGAACCAGTATTGAAAAGGACCACATTCTGGTAGATGCCAAGCAGGCAAGTTGTGTGAGTGTGTGGGTGGGAAGGCAAGTAGAAGGCAACAGCTTCAGGACAAGAGAGGTAGTTGTTCAGATATGCGGGTCCAAGGCCATGAAGGTATTTAAAGGTAATAACCAGCACGTTGAATTGGATTTGGAAACAAACAGGCAACAAAGACAGGTGTTTCAACACAGGCAAGATATGTTCCTGAGAATAATCTGAAGCTGCCACAGCTTCCAGGTTGTCTTCAAGGGCAAACCTATTTCTATATAGCACAACAGAACCGCAGAACTACCAAATCTGGTGAAACAAAGCAGCAAAGCAACTGAATAGTAGAATCTGATTGACAAGAGGCTGATTCTGAAAGCCATTTTTGAGGTCTAAGAATCACTACACGGTAATCTGGGTTTGTAGAATTTCATCCATACCGCATGAAATAAGTAACTGCTAAAATTAGAAAATGCTTTTACACACTGGTGTTAAAATATGTGGCAATTTTCAATTGTTACTATGAAGGACCACAGTACCATTTTACCTCATGGATCTCAAAAGTTACCACATCTAAAAACTGTACTTAAGGATCACTGAACAGTTTTGAAATTGATGAAGGAAGGCAGAGTCTGAGAACTTCTGTCACATATGGTAACGATCGCTATTTATTCTGTCAACTTATACCAGAAACTGCTAGTTTAAAGTGCAGAAATAGCTCAGTTACAGCCCTGCAGCAGCATATCTAGCTGTACAATTTTACTGGCATAACAAAGAACACAAATTTAAGACGTAATTCCATCTGTGCAGCAGAAGTCAAACCTTAGCAGGGCTGTCACATTTAGGGATCCCCACTACATGGGTGCAAGTAGAACCACCCTGCTTAATGAGGGTTTGAAGCTTATTAGGATGAACTCTGGTTAAGCAGCAAATCTAATTGGTCTCTGCTGCAGTTTACATTGGGGTCAATGTTTCTCTTAACCATGGTTAAGGCTGGAATAAGCAATTTGCTGGAAAGGGGGGCTGTGAAGGGGAATTTGCATCCTGCAGCTTCTCTCAATCTGAAAATGACCTGTTTACAGGCCTAAGAGATACCTTAATTGTTTGGAGGAGGCAAAAAGAAAAGAAAAGAATGAACAACATATTTAACAGGCCAACGAGAAATGGTTAAGCAAAGTAAACATGGAGGAGTATGTTTCAAGAGTGTTTGTTGAGGTAATGCAGTATGAAATTGGGCATGCAAGGGAAGGACTGTTTCTCCAAGTTCTGCTAAACCATCCAGTCAAACAACATTTAGAAAGTTGGCCAACGCAAATAAAGCAAAAGTACTCAAATGCAGTTGCCTGGATTTATGGATTTTCTCTGATTGCTTGCAAGTTTTGCAATACGACAACACCGAAGCTGGCTGCTCACTAGAGCCATCTGTCCAGCAATAATGCTTTTTGCAAGAAATAGGTTTGCTTTGGCAAGAAAGGCTGCTGACATATCAAAGAGCTGAAAATTTCCCTCTTAACGTTATTATGCATGTGCCTCTTATTCGATGTACTGTGGCTGTTTAACCTGTAAAAGCCACAGTAGTGGGTCCCAAAATTGGGTTTATGGGTTTAAGGCTGTGAATGTTCCATTAAAAAAAATAAATATGAAAGTGTTTCAGTTTTTCCCCCCTGCCACTATAAATGTAGGAAATGGAACTGAAATGCCAATGTGGGACCATGGAGAATATGATAAGACTTGGACTGGGAAATCATGGGTTCAGATTTCTAACCTTGAGCCAATTGACTCTTGGCTTAACTGACTTCACTGGATTGTTTTGAATATAAAATGGGATAAGCAATACATGTTGCCATGAGCTTAATGAACCAAGGGCATAATCAACTTAAAAAAATTAAAAACAGAAATGAATGAAATAAGGACTGCCTGCTTTTCTTCAGTAACCAGACTCAGTGCAAGAAGAGGTACACATCAGCACTGAAGAATCGAAGTTAATGTAGATTTCTCCTAGTTTCCTTTCCTAGCAATTTTGGAATGCTTCCTACAGACAGAGCCTCCTACTGTTGTGAAATTCTACCACCATCACCCCGAAACCCCCCAAACTGATTTCAGGATACATTATGGCAGATTAAAAGTATTTAAGCCATTATTTTTCCTTAGAAAACAATGGATCTTAATTTGACAGATTTTTTTCAATTAACATTTTTGTCAGATTTTGTGTGTGTCAAGAAATGATGTGGAACCAGGAAGGAGAATATGGGTAAGGTATGCATGGCCTAACAATATGACACGGTTTTCCCAGGGATGTCCCTAGGTCCAGTTGACAGATGTGGCCTGGAAGTTCTGAGCTTCTCAAACATGTGGTATCCCATTTTGGACTGGGACTACAGCTTAACTCTTCTCTTCTAAGCCATTTTCCTGACTTGGAACATCTCCAGGGAGCAGCTGTTTGCTATACTAGGGAAATTTATTATGTGCCAATGAGCTACATATTAGGTATCTCAAACTGGATAAACAGTGTTTCCCCTGGGCCATTTCAGGTCAGGAAAATGGCACGAGGTTGGATTTTTGGAGCCCATTTGCCCCACATGCCACGTTTGTGATCTGCATTGGGCCTACACATCCATGGGAAGCATGAAACTTTCCTGGATCCAAGGGATGTACCCTGGAAAAGCATATCCTGTAGTGCAGCCCTCTGATAATAACTATGTTAGCAACAAATTACAAGGATGTGTGAACCAGCTCAGGTAGGGTTACCAGCCCAGGGTTTGGAGATATCTGGAGATTTCAGCGGTGGAGTCTGGGGAAGGTGAAGTTTGGGAAGGGGATGTACTTCAATGGGGTACAATGCCATAGAGCCCATTTTCTCCAGGTGAACTGATCTCTGTTGCCTGGAGATCAGTTATAATCCCAGGAGCTCTCCAGCAACTACCTGGAGGCTGGCAACCCTAACCA